AACCACTTGGTTGTGGGCAATCCTTCTATAAGTCTGGAGTGATAACTTGCATTATCCATTACTATTACACAGTTCTTAGGAAGAGGATCTATCATTTGTTCGAACCATTCTTGAAAGACATCAGCGTTCATGTCTTCATGGTAGTCACCGGTACGAGTTGATTCAAAAGTTAATAAGCCACCTTCAACAAAACCATCTGAACTGCCAATGTGTACTATTATCAGCCTGCGTCCCTTTCCTGATGGTGGGTTTAAACCAGTAGATAAGTTATTTACAAAAGCGTGCCTTTGACTTGTAACAGTTTCATCCTGCCAAAATTTATTTGGTGTATGTATGACCCTCGTTGATCCATGTTTCATCAGATAAAATATTTTTCTTTTTTGGTTTCTCATTTCCTTTATGGTTCTTAGAAAATGTCTTCTCCATATGACAATATCGCTTCTTTCTAATAAAATAGACTTTCTGGGATTCTTTGTTCCAGCGGAAGCCTATTTCTTTTAAAAGTTTCCATAACGTACTTCGACTCATTTCTGGGTAATCCTTATCATCTCGAACTGAGACAAGAACTTTATCCAATGTTGGAAATTCTTGTCTAAAGAAGAATTCATGCACTTTCCGTCGAAGTCCTTCTTTAAAATGATATTCTATTTGAAATTTTGGTTTCCCTGGAGCATTACGTGGCATTTGAAAACTACCACATTTCTCTTCTTTAATAACTCTGTAAATCGTTAGATTTCCCAACACCAAGTGTACTGCTAACTAACTCAACGGTCTCATCAACACTTTCACATAAACGTTTGTCTGTAAATGATTTAAAACAATTATAATATTAATGTTTTTTCATTAACTGTTAAAGGACCAATTTTTCGGCGTTAACACGGCACTTCCAAATTTTCCATAACACTAGTATACACAATAAAACTGCACCTTGCAACTGAAGTACCTACTTTTAGTGAACTGTTAAGAATTTTGAATACGCCACTTGGACCTTCCTACAAAATGGAAAAACCCACTATCACATTTTCTGTGGAATAAGTTTAGAAGGTAATTATCTAGTCAATTACTGTCGTAGGTTCCTGGAATTAAAGAATTAAATGTTTGATTGTTGAAACCCTTACTTCGTGGAATGCACTCATTTCAGATAAAATAAAACGTTTTATTTTATCTAAAGAATTAAACTTTATTTTGCAAATAGGTAGGTACTTATTAAACTTTTATTGGTTATATATAACCAATAAAATAAACATCTTACATTTCTTGCAAATTCATTAGTACCTGTTAACCTCCATCACTCCGACACTGGCAACCTTATTTAGGGATTAGTAACCCTCACAACTATTGTATTCTATTCTGCTCCAACTACCTGGTGGTCATACTCAATTTAAAATTGTTTTCCTATATACTTCTGTAAACTTGTTGACAAATATCTGTTTTTCATTGAGTCACCCGTATCAACAGTTTAGGGATTTGCATACATAATTTATTGTTTTATTACTCTCTCATACATAAAAATACACTATAGAATAGAAGAATAATTCAAGAACTTAACAGATTTAATAATAGAGAAATTATTAGAGTTATAATACATTAGCTCAAGATATTAAAAATTGGTATAAATGACTACACCAACTGTTATCTTTTATGAGTTTTTCGTTGATCTTTTAACTTTGACAAAACATGAATTTGAATAGATATTAATAAAAACCGAAAAGCCATTACTAGTACATACAGTGCTAGCCAAAAGTCCCTCCCCCTCGTATCTTTTAATCTATTATAAATTATTTATAATAGTGAAATTTGGATGGATGAAATAAACGAGCTTCTCAACTAGTCATAACAGGTGACGTAATAGTCATAGATGAAGTTACAGAGCCACTGTGACCGATAATTTTAAATTGGACCTTACGGCAAGTGATATATCGTTTGAAAAGAAATTGAAAATACCCAAGTATTCAATCATACTAAGTTTGTTTTAAAGATTTAAAAACCTAGTTTAAAGTTCTTATATCAAGTATTCAAAATGTGCTTCATATACTTCATGACAGTAATGCATCCTATTGCCAAATTCTTGTCATACTCGTTCAAATTAGTCGGGGGAAATTGCCCATACATTCTTCAACAAATTCGTTGTTTTCAAACAGGTCCAATATCTGTTGGGTCTACTGCACCCTAATAATATAGAAGAGCACCATCTTTTGAAATGTTTGTCCAAGTTGCTGAATTCACCTCGATTGTCTTCCAGAATTTCAAGAAGTAACATATGTAGATACACTTCATCGGTTCAGTTAGCATTGAAAAAACAGGCCCAACTATGTGGTTTCCCAAAATATCTGCCCAAACATTTACTTTTTCTGGAAATTGAGTATGTGTTTCACGAAAAACGTGAGGATTTGTGTCACTCCAATACATCACATTGTGCGTGTTAACATTTCCATTGAGGGAAAAAGTACTTTTGTCACTAAAACAAATTGTTTTTATATAATCTGAATGTTGGTTAATTTAAATGGACATATTTTCACAGGATTCTAGTCTTCGGTCAATGCATCGAGCAAAAAGACAAAAGAGGGAATGTAAATGTAGTGGGGGCAAAAATATTGTTAGACAGGAAGTGCCATCTTGAGAGGCCCACATTAAACAAGGAAAGAGAGTCTCTTTCCTTGTTTAAGAAATCAAATTTAGTTGGGTTTATGTTTATTGTTTGTCCCAAATGTCAAATGAAAGATTATTTGTATTTTCTATTGAAGTTTTTTAACAATTTTTCACATTTTAGACTATTATCATTATTATTTAATTACAATTTTATTGTGTTCTAGTGTTAAAAAAATATTTTAAGTGTATTATGTATTAATATTATGTAATATAAAATAAATAAATAGATAAATTAGAACCCCTACACCACTGTATGATTATTGTGAAGTGTCATGAAATTCAAATTTGGTGCATTCGCATTTCCGGATCGTCCGCAGTCATTTAAACACAAACAAACAAAACAAACATTTCCTGATATGTCCGCCATCAAAGGCCACTTTTTTGGTCTCTTTTTCATAACGATTAGATTCCCTCTTTTGTCTTTTTGCTCGATGGGTCAGGGTCACCATCTCAAAGTTGGTGCACAATTTTTAATTTGTATGGATGAAATTTGTAGGTTTCTCTGGGAAAGAAAGGAGACCCACAACTCTCGATTAGAGATACAAAAGAATGCAAAGAATTTAAATACCTATGGACAGTGATCCCGAAGAAAGACAGAAACTACAAAATGGTCAAAATGTAGTAAAAAAAACACTAAACTCATTCATTTGGACTGATAAAATTAGTTTACAAATAAAAATGCCAATGTACAAATATATTGTAGACGGAATTTTAACTATGGATCTGAATGTTGGTAGATGACGATGAAAGAGAAGAAAAAACCGGAAGTGGTAGAAATAGACTATTTAAAAAGAGCGTTTCTGGTATCCAGATTTGATCACATCGCAAATGAAGAAATAAGAAGAAGAAAAGGAAGGATTTACAATACCGTAGATATAATAGAATCCAGCAACTTTTATGGTACGAGCACGTAATGCGAATGGAAGACGAACGATTGCCAAAACAGGCCTTAAACTATGTTGCATGGAAAACAAGAAGGATATGAAATCAACATTAGATGAAGAGAAGGAATCAGAGTAATAATGAGAGATAGAGCCATAAATAAGGAGAAATGGATCGACCGAAAGAGGTGGAGATCGAAATGCGGCAGAGGTTGTAAGACTGCCGTAAAGATAAGAATACTGCCTAAATAAAAGCGTTCTGGAGGTATTAAAAAAAAAAACAAATAACAAGGCGCCATCTTCAAATAGCTCTAGCTCACTTAGGAAGCATTTTCGGTGAACTGGATTAAATTTTCTAAGAAATCTCCGGTTATATATAAACCTAAACCTTAATACCATTACAAGAATTAATATTAAATTCAACTGTCTTCCATGTTGAACCACCTCGATTATCACTGCGCCGAGCTTTCGACGTCTTCTTCAGGGCTTCCGAGGTACAGTCTTCGAGCTCCCAAACACTACTACACGGATCACTAACCAATGCTTAGAGCAATACTTATTGTTAGAAGTTATTTAACAAATAACTTATAACAATAAGCCAATTTCCATAACCATTGCCATTGTTTAAGTCTCCTGGTAATTTTTCGAGTTATTTGCAGTTTGTTGTTAAAAAAATGCGTTAATTTTTGTTCTGAAAAATTACTAAATGAATTTCAATTCTACAAAAAGTTTTATAATCTTTAAACCTTTACGTACAAGTAAGAATATTTTAACTCGGATAAGTGGTTTCTATCTTGCTAAAAACATAGTTTTAAATTTAATCAACAAATATTTATAAGTGCTGAGCGGCTGTATCGCCGCAATCGTATACAGCGATAGACTGTCGAAATCCATATTCGAAATATTTGGTTCCGTTTCCAGCAAGATATAAACCATTTCTCCTTGTCAAAATATTCTTACTTGTAGTTGAAGGTTTAAAAATTATAAAGCTTTTTATAGAATTACAATTCACTTAGTATTTTTTTAGAAAAAAAATACCAAAAATCACTGATTACGGCATTTTTCAACAAAAAATTGCAAATAACTCGAAAAGGGAACATTTTTTGAAAAATAACCGGGATAAAAAAGTATTTATTTCGATGAAATGATAATTCTAAAAACGTTTTCTTGGTATAAGTTATTTGTTAATAACAATTTCCGGCCGACTATTGTAAGTACTAGTAAGAACGAGGAAAGAACACATGTTGAAAATATTAACACCTTTATTAATCCTCTGCATTCTTGCAAAAAGTTGGTTCTCTAACAATAATGACTAAATCTTTACACCTCCGCTTATGTATACTTGACCTATAATAACATGATAATGTCAATAAATAAAAAAACCTATTTTTATTTACCTAGAGAGACTTTACCTTTACAATGCAAACTCTTTAAAAAATGTAATTTATTGATTAAAAATATTTTTTTCAGAAAATTGTTGGGAGTATTCCCAGGAAGCTTATGCCCCATATGTGTTGACAGTCCATGTTACCATGTGTCTCCATTGCTACAAACACAGTATCCAATTTCACAGAATAACACAAGTAGCAGTCCTCAATACGAAAACGAAATTAGTAATGGTCAACCAGATAATACTTGTAATAACTGTAAAACTTATGATATGTAAATTGTGTATATTTGTAAATATATAGTTTTAACATTACGCGAAAACATTATTATTTTCTTAAGCTCTCACTCATATTAACTCCGGTACTATATCCAAAGCTCTTATTATTACCGATTCCCTTATTTCCATCAACACCATTAACCAGCTTTACACAGCATATCCAATTGCTCTCCTAATTAAAAAAGAACTAGCTATTCGTACAATGATGATAACAATGATGTTATTCTTAAACCGTCTTCTTCTGATGATGGGAACAAATCTACAAATATTCCACAAAATTTTCCCCAATAAGACCACCATCTGGAGGTACATGTGCATCAAATGGCTATTACAGTGTTTATCAAAATGTTAGAGGACTACGGACAAAACTTAATACCCTCTCTGAATCAGTAACAGCGAATAATTATGATATACTGGCATTTACTGAAACCTCATTATGTGATAGCAAAGAATATAGACGCATATGTGTCTATATTCTTTGGTGATAGTATAGAGCAGCGATACTCAAAGTGTGTTCCGTGGAACCCTAGGGTTCCGCGATACCCCTGTAGGGGTTCCGCGAGAATTTAGAAAAAAATTCAAAACACGTCTCTCTGGTCGACTTTTCTGATGCGGTGGCGTAGCACGATTGGAAAAATGGAACATTAGCTTAAAGTCGTTTAACGTAATGCAACATCTTCTACACAAGGCGAATGTTCGGAGGCAGTAAGCGCAGAGTATTCGTCAATTACCGATCAAGACGATTATGCAACGACGTCAAGTTCCACGATTTCAAAGGTGAAAGAAAGGACGTACCTATGATGAATCATATATCAGTTTCGGATTTGTTGATTGCAACGGTTCACGTCTGTGCATCCTATGTAGTAAACTGTTTCCTTATAGTTCCAAGGTACCTACCAAGTTGCGCCGACATTTAGAAACTGTACACCCCGAGTCTAAAGGTAGAAAGAATAAAAAAATTTTTCTAAATTAAAAAAAAACAGTTATTGGAAACTCAAAAAACTATAATGCATGTAACTCAAACTATCAATGAAAAAGCCACAGAGGCATCATATTTAGTTAGCTATCGCATTGCACAAGCAGGTGAAGCGCACACTATCGCTGAGAATTTAATAAAACCATGTGCGTTTGACATAACAAAATGTATGCTTGATGAAAAATCTGAAAAGCAGCTTTCTACTGTGCCGCTTTTTAACGATACTGTTTCACGGCAAATTCATGATCTGACAAGCTACACCAAACAAGAACTAGTTACACGTCTACAAAAAACACGATTCGCATTGAAAATAGATGAGTCTACTGATGTCGCTAGTTTAGCTATCTTGCTGGTTATCGTGAGATATCCATATAAAAGTTCTTTTGAACAAGACATGCTTTTGTGTTCACCGCTGCCCACAAACACAACCGGAGAGGAAATTTTTAATAAAATAAATATATTCTTTGAGGATAATAATCTAAGTTGGAACGATTGCATTGACATTTGTACAGATGGGGCCAAGTCGATGACAGGTAATACAGCAGGACTAGTGTCAAGAATAAAAAATAAAGCTACTAATTGTAGTTCCAGCCATTGTATCCTGCTTAGACAAGCACTTGCGATGAAGCAAATGCCGTCAAATCTAAAATTGGTTATGGGTAAAGCGGTAAAAATAATTAATTTTATCAAATCACGATAAAATCTCGATTGTTCTCATTATTCTGTGAAGATTATGGCAGCAAACATAAAACCCTGCTGCTCCATACAGAAGTGCGATGGCTGTCTCGGGGTAAAACTTTAACAAGGCTATTTGAACTTAGATCCGAGTTATAAGTGTTTCTTAGGTTACAAACGGACAACAGTGTTTCAGGCCTGTAACAAAATAACTGCCTGCAAAAGAAACTCATTGAGTTTTTTATCGATAACGACGAAATGTTCCAAGATGATGTATTTGAAGAATTGATCAAATATCTCATTTCGATGCGTGCATCTTTTGAGAAGTATGTTCCAGAAGAACATAACAGAACACAAAAATAAAACTGAATTTATGGATTTACAATGTCAAAGTATGTCAAACGAGATATACGAATCTCTTTAGAAATGTCATCAGGCACATGTATGGAGTCACTGTTTAAAACGACGCCTCTTAACGATTTTTGGTGCAGAGTCCGTGATGAATATCCAATGCTTGCCAAAATGGCTCTAAAAATTCTTCTTTTGTTCCCAACAACATATTCTCGAAGCCAGATTCTCAACATATGCAGCCACGAAACAAAATACCACAATAGACTGGACGCCGAACCATTGATGAGACTTCTAATGTCCTCTATCAAACCTGATATCAACCAATTGATGAAAAATAGAAAACAGTTTCATACCTCCCATTAGTTAGAGTTTTTATATTTAATATATTCCATTATTATACTTGTTATGTAACATTGTACTTTTAGTATGCTTATTAATACAGAATACACTTTTAAAAACTACTTTTTTATTATAAGGTTCCGTGAAGTATTTCGCTTTCCAAAAGGGTTCCGTCACCAAAAAAGATTAAGAACCGCTGGTATAGAGAGTAATGAACTAGGCATCTCACAGTACAATATATAGGTACCGCTGTGATAGATCAAGCTTAACCAGTTCATGTGAATGACTTGGAGGAGAAGAAATGGTACACTCCTCACTTAAAAACATGTATTATTTCAAAAGAATATTGCTCATCACAAAAATAAAAAATGGCTGCATCTAAGAAGGATTATGATTATTTTTCTAATTTGTGTCAAGAATTTAGGGATTGTTACAAAACATGTCATCAGATTCACCTAAATAATTTACAAACTGCTATTTATGATAAAAAAGGTTTTTGGAATTATGTAAATAATAAAAGAAAATGTTTTGATTTGCCAACACCCAATGGAAATAAACTGATAATCCCAAAATATAGCAAATTTGTTTAGTACATTTTTTTAATTTAACCTATACTTCATCTAATTTAGATAACGACTTACGTCATTATCTACGTCAGAGATCGAAGTTGACATAGTTGCCAAAAGTATAAAAAAATTCCTGACTCCATTTTAAATCAAATAGATTACATAATTATTGCAAAGTATTACCATCTGTTTACAACGACTATTTAAATTCTTACGTGACATTTTTGAAATTAAAACACACACTAATTTTTGTTCTAAAAAAGAACAGATTTTATTAGATAGTTAAAAATATAAAACAAGAGATATTCGCTTTAAAATTCAAAATAATGAAGTACAAAAAGTGTCACCACCGCAACTGTCAAATAAGTGTTACCAATTTATGCCAAAATTTTTACCTTCGTTTGATTAACAGTTACAGTGTGTTCCGAACAAATGTTCTTGATAAAAACGCTTTATTAATGCATGTATACAAATTAAATGAAACATATTATTGTGTATTTCTTCAAGTTAACATTAATAGAAATTTTTAAATATGATTTCTACGCGTATATAATAAAATATGTCTAGTGGCTGTAATGTCAGTGTACTCGGTAAAGTGGTTCTAAAAAGAACACACCTACACCCTAAATATTTTGTGTTGGTATCATGTGACGCCACAGGCTATGACGCCGATGACGTGCATCGTTATATAAATTAGATGAAGTGTATCTAAGATTGATCTGAAAGTAAGTTGTGGACCTGATAATCTTATACCTGTAGATGTATTCTGAGTTATATTTTTACCAAAAAATATTTAGTTTATCATTGAGTTCAGGTGTCTTTCCAGAGATATTGAAGAAAAGTTATATTACACACAGTACCATAAAGGTGGGTAATAGAGAAAATATTGAAAACTATCGAGCTACTATATTCTAAAATTGTAGTTTTCGCTAAACCTTTTGAAGGGATTGTAGCTGCAAAACTTGGTCCATTATTAAATCTTACTTTAATTGCCCGACCAACATGGTTTTATTCCAGGACGTTCTACTACTACCAATCTTTTAGTTTTACAAGAATTTTTGTTGGATGTTCTTGAAGGGTATGACCAGGTTGATGTAATTTACACCGACTTTTCGAAGGCATTCGATAGAGTTAATCATAGTGTCCTAATTTCTAAACTTAGTAATGCTGGTTTACATGGAAGATTATTGGGCTCCATGGAGAGCTATCTCACAGATAGAACTCAAGTTGTAAAAATTAACCAATTTTTGTCATCTACTATCAATGTAGCATCTGGTGTTCCACAGGGTGGACATTTATCTCCTCTTATTTTTAATTGCTTTGTAATGATATAAAAAACTGTTTTTATCATAGTAATATTCTTCTTTATGCTGATGATCTAAAAATTTATAGTCATAAAAATTCCAATAACTGTAGTTTATTACAGAATGATTTAAGTAGTTTATTGGACTGGTGTAACTGAAATGCTTTGAATTTGAACATAAATAAATGTAAGGTAATGCGATTTTATTTGAATACCATATTGGACCGAATATTTTAGAGGTAATCACAACATTTAAGGATCTTGGGGTAATTTTTGACCATACAGTAAGCTTCAGCGACTACTTTTCCTACGTTTCCAATAGATCCATGAAACTTTTAGGTTTCATGAAACGTAGCCTTTCTGAATTTGATAATATTTATTGTCTCAAAAATATTTACTATTTCCTTGTTAGATCGGTTTTGGAATATGGTAGCAATATTTGGTCTCCTCATTATAAATGCTACAAAGATCTATTAGAAAGAGTACAGAAAAAGTTATTAAGATTTATTGCTTTTAAATTGAGAATACCTGTAAATGAAATTGAATGCATTGTTTTGCAATCTTTACTTAAATGTCCTACTCTTGAAGAAAGGCGAATATTGCTAGATGTAGCATTTATATATGAATTAATACGAGGAGGCATTGATGCTAGTGCTATTGTAGAAAAGTTTTACTTCCGTACTCCCTGTAGAGACACCAGATCTCAAGACTTATTTTATTTAGAATTTCATAATCGAACTTATAGTGTAAATAAACCCTTACAGAGAATGTATAGAAATGGAAATAAATTTAATAGTATTGATTTTTTTCATTTATCACTAAGTACTATTAAGAATAAGTCGAAAATACCTTTTTATGTAATCACATTGTGTTTTAATAGTTTAAGCTAAATTAAGTTGATTTCTAAAAAATGGCAAGTCCGTAAATAAACTTCGACTTCGTTTAGGTCATACCCGACTTACCCACGGGCATATAATCGGCCACACTATTCCTACTTTATGTGACAATTGTAATGTTCCATTCAGTGTTAAGCACGTCCTTATAGAGTGTGTACGATACGAGTTGCAAAGACAGACCAACCACATCATCGGATCAACAAGTGAAATCTTCCGAGAAAAATATAAAATTCAACAATTGGTAAAATTCATTAAAGACATTAAGTAATATACTTAACAAAATTTAATATCTATAAGTCAATTATCTCATGTTATATATTAATATGTTATATGTTAATATGTCGCTAATAACCCCAGAGGTTGATGCGACAATGTTTGTAAATAAAAAAAAATTATTATTTTCTGAACGCAAAGGGAATTACAATATTTTGATTATATGAAATATTATTTTAGATGAGTTTAAACCACAATTGGTTGTAATGACAATTACATTTTATATTTTTTTTCAATTCGAAAATCGAAAAAGTAGTTTTAAAAAAGATCTCGTCATTTTGTCATTACAAATGCAAATACTCAAAATTTAGAGCATCTATCACCGTCATACATATGTCATGCCTTTGTTTAAGTATACTCTCAATAGTACCGGTGAAATGAAATCTACCTACAGATAAACACAATGTATAAAATATATTATATTTAATCATTTTCATTTTTTATCACAGAAATATCAACATTTTCCTTCTTATTCTTCGCATCAGTACATTTGATCATATGTTTCTCCAAATATTTCTTGTACGCAAAAACTTTCCTACACTTCGGACAACTGACGCAGCCGCTTCGGTGAGTGTGCATGTGGTCTTTCAAATGTTGCGTGGTATAAAACTCCTGATGACAAATTTTACACTCATATACACGTTGTTTGGAATGTTTACTTTGTACGTGTTGAGTCAAATTAAATTTTTCACGAAATTGCTTTCCACAGTGATTGCAACGGTACTTTTTAGGATGGTGCATACGTTTTTGGTGCTAAAAAATACAAATTATATAATAAAAAATATATATTTTAAAGCAAACTTTTTGCCATAATTTTATGTATAAGCAAACTGAATTTAACAAAAAACATGCGAAAAAATTGTTTTTATTTAGGGTAGTCTCACAGACGACGACGGCATGTCAGTCATTGTGTTCCAATATTCATATGTCAGGACTTAAGGGTTATTTATTTATTTATTCATTCATTTATTTATTGCAACGATAGAACCATTTACAACAAATAGTAAAAAGTAAAGATCATATACAATAAAAATCAGAAAAAATAACAAAGAAACAAGTAAACAGTTAAAATTTGTACATTAAAACAGTATATCAAATCACCAAAATAAAAAAAGTAGTATCACATAGTAAGTATCACATATCTAGATTAATAGTCAGATTCTTAAGTTGCCTTTTGAAAGCATTAATGTTTGGGCAGAAAGGATCCAATAGGAGGTCGTTGCAAGAGCTGAGCATTCTCGACAAGGAAAAATGACGAGCATAATCAGTCCTATAAAAAGGAATATAAAAGAGTGCCGTGTGCCATGTTCTATGTATTGTGTTTAAGTGTACATTGGCTAATAACGAGGGACAATTAATAACTATGTTTAGAATTTTAAACAAAAATATCATATCAGCTCTCAACCTGCGGTTCTTCAATGTATCAATGTTAAAATGAGACATTATTATAGAATAATCTATGAAATAATTTTCAGTATTTTTTATATTACTATGGGCTTTAAAAGCTAAAGATCTTAGAAACTTCCTCTGAACGCTTTCCAATCCATCAATGTATACTTGATGAAACGGGGACCAGACAACAAAGTAGTATTCAAGACCTGAGCGTACCAGAGAGCAATACAATAATTTGAATACAATAGGTGAGAGATCATGACTGTTACGATAAATAAAACCAAGATTACGAAATCTTGTTTCCTTAATTTTAAGAAAATGGCTTCTAAATGTCAATGCACAACCCAATAATACACCCAAATACGACCAAATAAAATACAAGAACATTTAGTTGGATTTAAGCTGAAACCATTTTGATTTGACCATAAACATATATTATTTACGTTATCTTGCAGGACCAACAACAGAAGTTAAAAAACAAGGGATCACAATGAGACCCTTGTGGTACACCAGAATAACAATGACATATAATTGTTAATAACTGGCTATGTAGGTCCCATCAGAAAACTTTTAATCCAATTACAATGGGGTCACCAAAGCCAGATGCATGAAGTTTGTGGACCAAAAGATTATGATTAATCTGGTCAAAGGCCTTTAAGAAATCACTGTAAACGCTGTCGACCTGAATTTTATTCTCAAATGCACCCAACAAGTATTGTTGGTAATTGACAAGGTTTGTTACAGTTGATTTCCCTTTAGAAAAACCATGTTGTTCATCAATAATTATGTTTCTGCAAGCCCAGATGGGATTTATCGATAACAATTTATCAAGAAGTTTCGGGATTGCTGATTGAATAGTTATGCCTCTATAATTGTTAACACACTAGCGATTGCCAGATTTATAGATAGAAAACTGTTTTTCTAATATTGTGGAAATACAGATGATGACAATGATAAATTGAAAATTTGTTGTAAAGGTTTACAAAGGGAAAAAAATACACTTCTTAATAAGTGCTGCAGGTATACGATCAGGTACTGAAGAATGTAGTTTTTAAACTCCTAATCCCCTCGAAAACATCAGCCAGACTAAACTTCAAAATCTGGAAATCCACACTATAGTCCAATTTAAAATTAGGTACATTATACTCACTATCATTATATGTACCTGAAAAATAACTCGCAAATAGATTGACTATTTCATCACCATTCTCAGCTATTACATCCCTACCTTTATTAGACGTTACATTAGGATAAGCACTAGACCCACGTGTAGTACTAACATACCTCCAAAAAGAGATTACTTGAAAGATTTGCTTGAATATTCTCTAAATAGTTCTTATAACATACTGCTTGTAATGATTTACATCTTTCCCTTAACACGGAAAATTCCTCATATGAGTTGCCTGATGCTTTAAAATTCCTGTGAGCTATTTTTTCTGTAAACCAAACTGGAAAGTTTAATGATTTAAACCGTTTGATAGGAACAAACATATTGATGGCATCATATAAATTATGGTAAACATTTTCTAAGCAGAAATTTATATCTGATTCATCTAATACCTTGTTCCAAGGAATTGATGCTAAATATTCATTTAAAACAATTACAATAGATTGATAGTAATTACAATTTTTAAAATCATGATAGAAGACATCATATTTAATAAACAAATTTAAATTGGCTGCATGTAACAATATAGTATAAGCTGAATGATGTTGCGAAGTATTCAATAAAATATCAGTTGAAATGAAGGGCTAAACATAAACAAAAATAAAAAATAGATTACCCGTTTCAAACTAAATTTTGATTTAAACCAGTTTTCGCATATGTCACACATGCATTTTTCAGAGGAATGTTTCCTAGATGTATGTACTTTCAAAAGCGTTTTCAATTTCGTTGCAAAGCTGCAGAAATTGCATGTATATGGTTTGTTTTGAAGATGAGATGCTAGATGGCGAGTCATGGACGTTTGACAACTATTCTGTTTTCCACATATATGGCAGATGTATCCCTTTAAGCCTTCATGCCGCGCTTTTATGTGTTTTTCCATAGCTGCTTTTGAAGAATGCCGAGAGTCGCACATATTGCACCTAAAATATATTAAAAAATAAAAAGTGAGATTTTTAGGAACAACAACACATACAACAAGTTTTTAAACAGCCTCAAATAATACCTAAAACTACAGACTAAATTAATATCCTTGCACTAACTTACTTAAAAACATCGGAGTGTTTCTTCATATGTGCATCCAAACTTTTAGGCAACACTAGTTTCTGGCAAATTGGACATCCTATTCTATGATTATACTCATGCTCAACAAGATCTGTTCTATTAGCAAACACCTATACACAAATGAAAAATCATTAATATAAACATACAGTGACACTGTACCTAAGTTCTGGTCTCGAAAAATTGTGTAAATGCAGCAGTCCTTAATACTTAAAGCTGTAAAGGCCAAGAGAAAGAAGGTTAAATAATGTAAAAATGTAAATTTTTGAACAGAATTGAGCAAGCGGGCAGGTTTTTTAAAATCCAAGAAAGATTTAATGAAAATGGACAAGGCATGTTGAGGGAACATATCCTTTATAAGAATATCGACGCAAAAGGCAACAAAAAGGTGCTGAGGAAATACCGAGCTATGTTCACAGAAGAACAAGAAGCAGAATTGGTTTGACACATACTAGATTTAGAGGTACGATTCTTTGGAGTCACCATGCCAGATCTGCGCTCATTAGCATACAACCTACAACCATGACAAAAAATTGCTGGCTAAGACTGAGGTTGATGGATTCAGACATCGGCACACTGAAATTAGTTTAAGGAAACCAGAACAGACTTCTGCCGCAAGGGCTCATGCATTCAATAAACATAACGTGACAAAGTTTTTTAATATCCTTAATGTTTAAGAAAAGCAATGCCGCCTTGTCCACAGGGTTATCAATGTTGACGAGACAGGACTCATAAGCTGTTCAGTCCAAGATTCTCGCTCAATAGAGATAGACGTCAAGTTGGTGCTTTAACATCGGCTTGAAATAGGTCTATCAACATTTGTTGTGTGTATGTCAGCTGGAAGGAACTTTATTCCGCCATTCGTGATTTTCCCAAGACTTAAAATGAAAACAGAACTTCAAGATGTAGCTCCACCTGGAACTATTATTGTCTGTCGCCCATCTGGATGGATGAAAAACAAGATATTCTTTCAATGGTTTGGACATTTTCTGACTCATACCAAACCAACAGCTTCCGAGCCAGTCTTGTTAATCTTAGGACGGCCATTCAACGTATGCAAAAAACCTGGCATTTATTGAAAAGGCAAGAGAGAGCTGCACCACCTTCGTTTCTTTATCATCGCATTGTAGCCTTAAAATACGGTCTTTGGAATTTTTCCTTTCTTTTTGATCTTTGTCTTGAGGTTTGGGGTGCCGTTCAGATATATATTCTACGTCCAGCATAGAAACTGTTCTAAAAAACAGTCCTGAATGTGTTGAAGCCCAGTTTAAAGTTTGCCGACTTCTTAGAGAAGTTTTTTAAAGGCAGCAAACTCAGCCACAGCAAAAATGAGTGTCGTTAGAGCAGCATTGTGCCACCAAACCAAAGCTGATTACATTGCTGCTGAATGCACTGATGTGCTTGTTTAACAGCTTAGACCTGATTACCAACATCGTGAAGCACCTCAAACTTTGTCTGTATTTAAGTCAAGTTAAGAAGGTGTGGGCCGACCTTTTGAACATCCACAAGATCAATCTGAGCCTGGGTATGAAATCCTACGGCAAGAAGGAGCGCTTCAACAAAGACCAACTTTCAGTTCAAAACTTAGACCTTCTTCCATCTCACAAATATGATCTTCCTTCACCGTAAGCCCAAGAGATACTATTCCATTACCAAAAACTAACCATGTTAAAAGATAAGCAGGAAAAAAAAGGAAATGCTACTGCTTTGACATAAAGCCCCATATAAATTGGAATTATAACAAACGAAAAAGGAAAAAGACAAAAAGAAAGGAAAAAGGGGATTTGACGGATTTTGAAGGCACAAAAGAAGAGAAAAATAAAAAAGGTTTTGACCAAAAGAAAAAACATACCAAGTTTTACAAGACACAGTACCAAGCAAAGCAGAAAAGAGATATCGGAAAAGGAAGTGGGGAGTAAGGTGCCACGTCACCTACAATTTAAAGAAGAATCTGACTTAGCAGAAACAGACTTAGCATCTACAATAAGCGATTTAAGCGACGCTGATTGTCTGTACTGCAGTGAATTGTATTCCTATTCAAAGGATTGTAAAGGATGAGTAATATGCTCTGGATGCCACCGCTGTGGCAGCTTGTTTCAAAAAAATTACTTTTGAATAAAAAAAAACTCCCTTAGAGTGGCCACTTTATCCGGGTCTCCCCTACACTATTCAAAGCACTAGTTCTTTATTCCTGCAGTAAACTGAATATCATGTAATTAGTTGTCGACGGTTCTAGGAAAACATGATACTTGAAGAACAAAAAATGTTTTGATTGAACATTGAATATCTTTATACAAAATAAAAATGCTTTTAAATGTTTAAATTCAACAACATGTAGATACAATACCTTTATCTAAAATATTAACACAATTTGACGAAACCAGACGCTATAACTTAAAAAATATTAACAATACCTCATTGCATTTAGAACAACAAAAAACAAACTCTCCATTATGGGATTCCTGATGATCTTGATAATCAAAAAAGACATCAAATTTTTGGCGGCATATATCGCATTGGTATATAAATCTGTCATTGTGTAACTCCACCGCTTGCAACTAAAAACAGTTATAACTGAACATTATTAAATATAAGACACAGTATTACGTCTGGTCACTACAGCAAATACTGTATACCAAACATATGAGATGCGCAATGAGACAGTCACGCTGATACTGCAATGTACGTGGCTTTCAAGTTGAACAATTACGCCTCTTTTATTTCATAAATAATGAACCATATGATAGCGCATTTATCTTCATTTATCAGTAAGTTTGTTTCCTTCTCCCTTCACACATGTTAAAATATTACACAATATAGCGACTACAATAAATAAAGAAAATTTTACTGAAAAAAAAATGTTTTTTATTTCCCCTGAGCATGTTTTGAAAAATGTATAGAGAATAAACATGTATACAGCACATATATACCAGTAAACAGCATGACGAAATTTTGGACATTTCATCCTTTCAATGATCCCACTACTATACATTGAATTAGAAGAAAAGTGAGAGTGGCCCAGACAATGATTTTTGAGATGGAATCATTGGATTGTGGAAAATCACATGAATGTGTATCATACTAATCATTCACTTACAGTAAGAATTTTCCAAAAACATTTGCGCCACTGTGAGTAGATGATTTATAAAATTGGCCCCTATATTCTTCCTAACTGACAAGTTGCCAGCACTTTTAGGGGATGTCCCACTGCTTACAGAATGTTATAGTTGGTTTCACATGGATGATACACCCCCACATTTCAAAGTTCATGTCACAACTTTTAATATATCCATACTAATGTGCTTGGTTCCTAGTTTTGGAAATACATCAAATATAAAGTATATACAGATATAAATGTCTGACAAGAATTGTTGGATCATGCTGAATTCAGAAAGTTGCCCAAGAAATTTGTATAAACTATATTGTCGGAGTTAAGAGAAACAGGTTTGTTATAGTGTGGGCATGGGCACTTTGAAAATTAATTGAGTACAGTTGCCTATGATGTATTAAATACTTTGAATATGGATGTTTTCGATTTATACACTTTGTAGTTCTGTAACTGAAATAAATAATAATAAATCTACAATGTTTATATTTTTTCGTATTAATTGAACTTAGGGTGTATTCCCAAATTTTGAACATAAAGATATGGGGCACCCAGACCCTATTTAAAGAAGGAAAGAGAATTAATAAGAATAGAATTTGTATATACATTGGCTTACATATACCGCTCTCTTTTAGCCTTTAGTTTTCTTGAGGATTGGCAAAACCAGTGATCACGATCCAGTCTCTTTGTTTTAATAAAAACCTTGAATTAAAGAGAAAAAACGGATTGTGATAAAGACCTTTTCTCTACATTTAAGAATTTAATAATTTTAATAGTCAATTTTATTCAAGTAATTAATGGCCATCACCTAACATACTTACTGCTGTACTTCCAGATCTTATTGATAAAATTTCATCACAATTATCACTAGAATCCTCCTGATGGATATCTTTAGCTTCTACAGATGATTTTTCATTCTTTTGAAATATAACTGGAGATGATTGGATTTGTATATTTCTAGAACTGATATTGCTATCACTTTCTATTTCATAAATTTGCTTTACAAGGTACATCACTAAAATATTGAACAATCAGATTCATTTCTTTTCAAATATATATTATAATTTACTTTATTGGATCCTGTTTGACATCTTCAGAATTATTTTCACAAAAAAGTTTTTGTAAAACCTTTTCTGAGTTATGAGCTGTTTCAATAAATGAATATATTTTATTAATGAAATCTACACAACTTAAACATATTATTGAAGGTATCTTGGGATTTTCTGGTATCTAAAAAGTAAGTTTTACTATACTGTCTGTAATTTTTGTATATTTGGGATAAAACCTTATATCTACCTCATTACATAAACCCTCCAGGCTGAGGTGTTGAGGCCCATGGACATATAAACAAAAGATCTTTATTTATATGTCCATGGTGTGGCCTGTCACTACACTCACATATGAAAGTACAAAATAAATTTTGTAATTTTTTATTGATAACATTGAAATCCTATACACTTTTTTCTATTCATAAAAATATTAATTTTCGCTGCAAATAATTGACAAAAAAAAGATATACTGAACTTGATATACATATATTGCTAATGATCCTCACAGGCCTCACCAGGTTTTTATGTAATTTTATTTCGCCCCTCTGCTGAAGGGGTTGATCAGTTGTATCATACCCATAATATCAGTAAGCAATTGAATTTATTATTATCTACATCAACTATACTGGAAATTCAAGAAATAACCACAATATATGAACCCTTTATTCCTAATACCATATAACCAAACTGTTCAAGCAATCCTTCCAAGATAAGGTCAAGAAGCTACAAAAAGAAAAAAATAAATTTGAAATCAAGGATTCATACCAGAAAAACCCAATAGGTATTTCGAAATTGGATTCATCCATTTGTCCAATGCACTAAATCAAATACATCAACTAATTATGTAATTATTGCTACTTATAATGGAAGGCAAGCAACTGATATTTCTCAAACAAAATGTAAAAGAATTTTGGTATACCTAATAAATCTTGACAACCAAGAGACAGATAATCTAGTTTATTGCTATAAGATCATTTATACTAATTATGCTGGTGGAACTATGCTAAAAAGGTTAATACTTACATTCAATCCAATGTTTAATATCCTCTCCCTAAAACGTCCTTCTATAAGTAAATTCTTTTCATTCGAATGTAGACAAAATCGACACAAATTAGTTAGATTATCCATCGCTTTATATACAAATTGTACAAAATTTTTAACTAAAATAAAAAAATTTCATCCCTAACCCTAACCTCTATAAACAAAAACAAGATTATTTAAGGTTGATATCACAGAATACTAATCGTGTTTAGTGTTCTGTGGTTATATTTATACCAAAGAATATAGGACGCTTATTATAGACGCTTATATAATAAGCGTCTATATTCTTTGTTTATACAGTACAGCTGTAGCTGATCATGGATTGCAGCTGAGACCAGGCTGAGACTGAGTTTGTTGCGTATTGTGTCAGTCAGTAGTTAGTGTAGCTCATGAAGAGTTTGTGGATAATTAAATTTTAAGATTACCATTACAGGAATTCGAAAAAGTATTCTAATTATTGGTAAAATAAAAAAGTTAAGTCTTTACGAAGTCTTTGGTTTAATTTTAAACACTTGAAAATAGTTTTCAAGCAGGGACAATGTTTGAAAAAATTGCGCCGATACAAGATTCAAATCTTGTAGGTATAATAGTTTATATATCAAGAATTTCCTTAACCTATGCAATATTCGATCACCTTTTACTTAGCAAACCATCTTCTATTGAAAATTCTTCGATAAGTATATTAAATATATAAAATCAAAGAAAATAAGAAAATACATTGAAGACTGATAGAAAATGCAATCGAAAACAGGAAAAACTATAAGGAAAACAAGGAAAAGCATTAATCATTGGGAAGAAGCAAATCGTTGCTCTAACAAACGAAAACACCAGAATTACAGACAGAATAATGAAATAATACAACTCGTACTAACTAAATTCTACAGCGAACTATTACAAAGCCCCTGACACAACTTGAAGAAGTAATGAGTAACCAAGAAGATGTACAAAGAAGTCCTTCCGAGAAGAAGTAGAATCGATAATTGCAAAAATGAAAAGCGGTAAATCAGCTGGAATAGATGGTAGTATACAGTGGAACTGCTTAAATACGCTGGCAATAAAACCTGGAAAATCTTAGCAAGCATATTTACGAACTATCCTAAGATCGAGATGCATATAAACTACAGATCTACCTCTACCAATCAGTACCAGTAGACCAAGTCTACTACCAATCGATATATAAAGATATTCACAAAGATCATCAACAACAGATTAACAAACGCATTAGATGCTGCACAGCCGAGATAACAAGCTAGGATTCAGAAGTGGATTCAGTACCATAGATCATATTCATACACTTCGAGAACTAATGACTAGAGCTAAAGAATATGAAATACCGCTAACATTAACCTTCATAAATTTCGAGAAGGCTTTCGATTCTATATATATCCAATACAGTAATAGACGCTTTGAACAACCACGGCATTGACCAACCGTACATAGAAACTTTAGCAAATATATGCAGACAAGCAAACGCTAAGGTAAAAATTTATGAAAACACTCCAGAATTTCCCACTACCAGGGACGTCCGACAAGGAAGACGCAATATCACCAAAGCTTTGTACTGCACCTCTAGAAAATATATTCAGCAAAATGAACTGGCAGAACAAAGGCCTATCTATTGATAGAGAATACCTCAGCCATCTAAGCTTTGCAGACGACATCATACTGATTGTTTATAATCTTGCAGAGCGGCAACAACTTATAAGCGACCTAAATGCAGCTAGTAATGAAGTTAGCATAAAAATGAACTTGGCAAAAACAAAAATGGCCATGTACAACGAGCTAGTGGATGTCATAATAAGATATAATAATAAACAACACTGCACTTGAACAGTAGACGAGTATGTATATCTGGCACATTAATACATAAATCTGTCTCCTTACTTCCAGAAATCAACAGAAGAATGAAACGAGCTTGGACATCTTTTGGTAGAAATGTAGTTATATTCAAATCGAAGATGCCAATTAACCTGAAGAAAAAAGCATTTGATCAGTGTAAATACCAATCATGACATACGACTGCGAAACTAAGACACTAAAGAAAGAGATAATATCGAAACTCAAAAATCAAAGGTCGATGGAGCAATGCATGCTAGGTATAAAAAAGAGAGATCGAAAAAGAATAGAATGGATCAGACAGAAAACCAAGGTTTATTGATGTAATCCATAAAATTAAATACAGTAGACTCCCTCTTAACCGGTCCCACATTAACCGGCCGTTGTATTAATCGGTCACTCTCCCTTCCTATTATTTTGCGTGCGAGACGATCATCAAGTGCCGCTTGAGGATCGTTCTCTCGCCCCGGTTGTCAGACATTGTCAGCATTGTCCCTCCTCTAATCTATGATTGTCAGTGCTGTTTTTGCTTTCGAGGATGATTGAATTCGTCTTATGCGAAAATGAGTGTAGAAGCGTAAACGTATGTTGAGACGATGGAAAAACGCCCTAAGTGTGCTTAAATGGATCGACAAAGGTGAATCAGTAAAGACAATTTTGTTCAGAGGAACAATGTTGGTTGTGTCTCCGGAGGCGTGTCAGGCAGCAGAAGCTGACAGCCGTGCCGGACGCATTTAGAAATTCGGAGAGAAATACTTGGAAATTCCAAGTGTGGGCAAATCCGAATTTCTAATTGACTCGATGCAGGGAAATTCCACTTTTGCTACATAAAACAAAGGATTTGTTTTATATAAAAGCAGATGGAATTTCTCTCATCGGTCAGTCGAGCTTGCCTCTTCTTCTGGTAGACCTAGTCGGTGCTATTATTGTTCCGACTAAGCTATTGTTTTATTTCTTATTTCCTGATAACCATTTATATTTTATTATTGTATACTCAGACCTTTTCAGGTTAGAATATTACTTTGACTTATATTTGTTCATATACTGATTATTTGATATTTTATTCAATTATTTTGATTGTTTATTTTTCTTGTATTTTGTATCTAAGTTGTTCTTCCGTAAGTTAAGAACACTTAGAAATATTTACCTTACTTTTTTCTATTTTATAAATTTTGATTTTGTACTTGTGTCAAAATAGTTCTTTCCGGTGAGTCAAAGAACTCTTAGAAATATTTCTCTGATATTTGACTTGTTAATTTTATTGTGTGCTAAGTCTTTCTTTTCCGGTAAGTCAAAAGAACACTTAGAAATATTTTCATATCATTATTGCCATTATTATTTCCGATATTATCTAAGATATTTTCTTAATATATTTGTCTCTTTTATTTTACCATTTCATGCTGAGTTGTTTCTTCCGTAAGTCAAGAAACACTTAGCAATATTTCCATATCTTTTCTGTATTTGATTTTCTTATTTTCTTTTCTAAGCCGTTTCTTCCGTAAGTCAAGAAACACTTACAAATGTTTGTATTATTATTTTACTATATTTGATTCTACTTGTCTGTTTTCTGTTCTAAGAAACACTTAAAAATATTTCCATACATTGTTTCATATTTACATATTTCATTTATCTATATTTCTGTCTTAAGTTGCTTCTTCCGTAAGTCAAGAAACACTTAGGAATATTTCTGCACTTTTCTGTTCTTTTATTCTTGTGTATTTTACTTTCATTCTAAGTTGTCTCTTCGATCCGTAATCCGAAATCCGAAATGTGGATCTACCGGAGAATACTCAAAATTTCATGGACATCGCATACCTCAAACGAAGAAGTGCTGCATAGAATAGGCAAGGAAAGAGAACTTTTTAACACAGTTAAAGTAAGAACAACATCATACCTAGGCCACATACTGAGAAATAATAATTACCAATATGCCCAACTTATAGTGAAAGGAAAAAATCGAGGGAAAGAGAGGCCTAGAAGGAAAAGACTATCATGGCTCAGAAAACATCCGACAATGGACAGGGCTAATTATTGAACAGCTAATAAGAACAGCTGAAGATAGAGAAGAGTTTAAAATGTAGTAGCCAACCTCCATTGAGGAGAGGGCACTTTAAGAAGAAGAAGCAGTATTAACACGTTTACCAGCGACAAGCAAAGATGGTCAACACCCGATCAAATTCCGGGGACAGGAAGAAGTCCGAAGAGCCGGCGATGGGTCCTACAGACCCAAATGCCCCCTCTCGACAACAGTTGAATGTGGGGAAAACTACAGTGAATGAGTAGCGAAGGGATCGCGTTCAATCGAGGATTTCTAGCGCCCAAATGGAATCAGATAAAAATCCAAGAACTAGATGCACTAAAAAAAAACGAAATTCGGGATAGTAGATGAAGCTCTTTGGTTGTGGTTCTTCAAGAACGGCGAAGGGGCACACCTTCTGATCTGAGAAAGGCTTTATGTATATACAGCAAAATTATAGACAGAGGCGAATTTATTGCAAGTGAAGGTTAGCTGACTCGCTGGATGGCACGTCACGAAGTTAATTATGCACACGTAGTGGAGAAAACATGTCGCGGACGCTTCAGGTGCAACTGATTTTACCTACAAGTTTGTAGGAATTGTAAGTGGAAAAATTAAACCCGAACAAGTATATAACATGATGAGGGTCTCAATTTTAAAATGCTTCCAGAAAAAACATTTTTGGAAAGTCATTGAAAAATCGACTTCTGGATTTAAAAAGAATAAAGACCGCATTACTGTTGTTTGGTTCAAATGCAGCAGGAACACACAAAATTCATCTTTTCGTTGTTGGTAAGTCTAAACCGAGTACATTTAAAAATTTACACCCATCGTCCCTCCCCGTATTCACAGATCACAAAAATCAGCATGGATGAGCGCTGATATATTCAAAGAATGGTTTGAGCTTGAATTTGTTTCTAGAGTAACGCGCCATCTTAAGAGAGTAAATCTTCCCACTAAAGCATCCTACTTCTGGATAATGCTTCAACTCATCCTGGAAACCTTACATGTGCGACAGATGACAAAAATTATCTTTTTTTCTCCTAATGGACAAGCTTTGTGCAACCGATAAATCAAGGGTGATTGAAAGCTTGAAAAGACGATACAGATGTAAATTACTGTCAGAAATTTTACAACGCGCAGAAAGTGAAGATCTCAATCTTATTCATTATGATCAAAAAAATTATAAAGGACGAAATTTACATGTTCCAAGAAATTCCTGTTTCTACTTTCGTTAAGTCTTGGTGAAAACTTTGGGCCAACATTGAGGAACTTTTTGAGTGTCAACAATCACACGAAAAGATTAATTCTACATCATTCTTCAAGATCTCCAAACGTTATCCAAAATGTCCAATTGCAGGCCGAAGATATTAAAGAATGGATGAACGTGACGAGGAACTTGAAAAACGAATTTTTGACAGACAACGAAATAATTACACTAGCAACAGATGAAGAGCCCTATGAAAATGAGGAGACTGATGATATTGACGGAGAGGAAAAGGTCGGCCACACCGAAGCGACGGCTGCAATGGAGGTGCCATTGAAGTATATTGAACAACAACCTGGTCCATCTTCAATAGATGTCTTGGTTTTAAAAAATGGAGATATATAGCTTTTAAACATTCACTTAATGTCAAGAAACAGAAGAAAGTTACCGATTTTTTTTAAAACAAGTTTGTAAAATATTTAAATATGTATACCTTATGTACATAGAAATAAATAGTATTTTTCAACTGTATACTCCGTGATCTTTATTTATACACCTTCCTGTATACGTTTGATATATGTATGTATGTACTTGATTTTTCTAATGAAAATGCCTGCACATCGGATTTAACCGGCCAGGCTCTGGTCCGATGTGGCCGTTAAGAGGGAGTCTACTGTATTTTAAATGGCAGTATGCGGGACATTTAACGAGAAGAATTGAACAAGAAGACGGCCAAATTTAAGATGGAACTATGACATAAGGAAACAAGCCGGTACAACATGGCACAGAAAAGCGAATTTTAGACAATCGTTGGGCAGATATGAAGAATTAATATGTAAGGGGATGCTACACCATAATCGGTAGAATATGCTAAGATTGAGGATGATATAAAATCAGAATGAATCTGCTGCTTTGACTTCAAAATTCGCGTATGAATCAAGCGGCTGGTGGATATGAGTGGTACAATAATTAGTGCATGGTTTTATTTTTCTATAAATAATAAGATGGTTTTTTCGCATTTCTTAAAGAGAAGGGGAACATAACGTTCGTTTTTCATTCCTCAGATATTCTTGATAATCTGAGAATCTTAATATTGTTTTTAAGCCATGATTTAGGTGACATCTTAATTACAATTTACTATTTTTTTGGAATTAACCACAATTTTAGTTTAAAATATGTTTATTTTGATGTTTCAATTTCCACTTCGGAAATGGAAACCGAAACGTTGAAGTGAGGGGGTGGACTTTAGTTGCTAGGTAAGGAGCTATAGGTGTATCTATAAGCACGACTGCTCTGGGAGGATTGCGTGCTGATGGACCATTCCACCTGAATTCAACACACGTCAGGGCATCCTCAAAGGAATACGGCCTGGTACTGTCTTTAGAAGATTTGTTGGCAACTGCCCAGTGGAAAACGGAATCTTGAATTATTGGCGTCGTCAGGTCATTTAGGTTTTAACAGATTTACCACCTCCTTCCCATAAAAAAATCTATCAATATACAAGTCTCCGGAACTTTGGCCGATTTCTGCTATACATAAGCTCTCAGCCAATCACTGATAAACCTTTTTTTGGCCTTGTTACACCCAGGACTCTTATATCAACGCTAAAGCGAACCTTCTTATAGCAACAACATGTTCTGCCTAAGCTGCATCACTGTGTTGAAGATTCGCCTGTAGATCCTTGGTTGAGGTTATAAATATGGTTTGACTGTCTGGTAATTGACCATAGTGTAGATTTCTGTGTATTTTGCGTTTGGGTGTATGTGTCTGTGTGGGCGTGCACGTATTTAAGTGTTTCATAAGCAATCAAATAATCTACAGTTATTCCTATGTCATGTTCTCAGTTGATCCGTGGAGGTTTATTTTATTCACACCTGTCCTATTTTCCTATATAGCTATAAGACGTTGCCTATTAGCAATTGGTACGCGCCCTGTCGGGGAGGACAACTTCCCAACCCAGAATTACAATCTATCGAGTTACTGTCTCTAAATAATTCTTAAACCACGAATAAAAAAAAGAACTTAACAAAAAACTTTATTTTATTACTTATACTATAAAGCAGTACAAAAAGTTCAAATTTATTTAAAAAATAACAATATTATAATCTATAAAAACAAGTACAAGTAAATATAAAATTTTATACTGTATTTATTACTTTTAATCTCTCACGATCTCTTTCTGAGTTAATACTCAGGTACAAGTTCTAATATTTTTTTCAAGGCATTTTGGCTGTCTTCGCTACTGTTATTGGATACTTGGAGATCCCAATATTCAAAATCATCCAAATTACATTCTGATGGAGCATCATCTACATCTAAAACAAGATATTGTTGTGAGTCACATACCCCTAATTGCGGCCTTGTGCGTTTGAAAAATCCAAAAGCCTTTTCGTGCCAAACTATGATCAAAAGATGACATTCGAGAATTTCGAATTTTCCCGAGAATTCAAGCGCTGTAGGGTTATGTTTTTGAGACAATTCGTTCTCATTATATAAGCCAGCAGGGACAGGTTCTGAGATTATTAACAGCGATTCTATTGTAATAAATTAATAAATTATATATTTGTAATTAAGTGATTTTGAAGAGCTCCTGAATATCCAAAATTTCACTGATGAAAACAATGAAAATGGTAGAAACAACGGAGAACATGAGTATCAAACGGTCGAATTAGAAATACCCCCACCAAGCATGGAAGAAATTACACATGCCGTAAAAACGCTTTAAAATGATAAATCCCCTGGTCTAACAATATTGATGCCGAGCTAATTAAAACAGGCGGTCATGAACTCATAAGTAAAATCCATCAATAATAGAAATGGCCTGGCAACAAGAAATAATGCCGAAAGAATGGTGTGGTAGTATTATTGTACCAATACACAAGAAAGGAAAAAAGGAATCATGCATGAATTACAGAGGAATCTCATTAATCAACACTACATATAAAATATTGGCTTCGATATTATTAAAAAGATTAGTGTACCATACGCCGAAGAAATAGTTGGTGACTACCAGTGTGGTTTCAGGTCTGGCAGATCGACTATTGATCAAATATTTACAATAAGACAAATGCTTGAAAAGTATTGGGAATGTAATCACGACGTGCATCAGATTTTTATAGACTTCAAACAGGCTTATGATTCAATTAATCGTGCAACATTATGGAAGGCAATGATCGAGCTCGGCGTACCCAAGAAACTAGCTGCGGTAACACAAATGTGTGTAAGTAACTCTTTTGCACAAGTTAAACTAGGGGGAAAGATATCAAATGCTTTCTGCGTAAATTCTGGACTGAGACAGGGAGATCCTTTGCGATGACGTAGACGCAGTAGCACAATCAATATTAGAAATTAAGGATATTTTCTCGAGCTTTGAAGAAGCTGCATTAAACATTGGTCTAAAAATAAATGAAGACAAAACAAATACATGGTCATCTAACATTACTATAAATGATCACAGGTTCGAAGTGGTTAAAGAATTTAAATATCTAGGAGCAACAATCACAAATGACAACAAATTAGAGCAAGAAGTTGAAACGAGAATAATGGCAGGAAACAGATCTTTCTTTGCAATGCAACATCTAATGAAGTCAAAACTTCTTTCACGAGCTACACAAAATCCGGATATATAAGACCATAATACGACCAGCAGTCGCGTAATGGAAGCGAAACATGGACGCTAACAAAAAGGAAAGTAAATAAATTGCTAGTGTGGGAACGTAAAATTCTTTAGATGAAATATGGCCCTTGCAGAGAGCGTGACAAACGAATGGAGCGGCAGATACAATAACGAGCTAGTCTCTATTCGGAAAAGAAAATCTAGTCGGATATATAAAGGCCAATAGACTCAGATGGGCAGGGCATGTGATACGCAGTAACGACAATCGCCTTATAAACAATGTGTTCTGGGAAAGGCCAGATGGAAGAAGGTCTGTAGAGCGGCCTAGAAAAAGGTGGAAAGATACAGCCAAAGATCTAGAGAAAATGGGAGTTCGACAATGGGAATTACTGGCATAGGACCGACAAACATGGAAGGCAACAGTAAACGCAGCAAAGACTCACAAAGAGTTTGTAGCGCTATTGATGATGATGATGAATTAAGTGATTTTGAGTTAAAGATATTTATAGTTAAACCATGTTGTGCACATTGTAATATTTACCTTTTGTAAAAATCCAGCCTCTATCTTTTCTGACTTCAATATCAGCTGATATTCTTATACTTTTGACAAGCTCTCCATACGTCTCCTTAAACCACTTAATGTCTGTTTTTCGTCTAATATCACAAACTATCCAAATTGGCACATCAGACACTAAAAGAATATGAAAACTGTGTCATAATTTTTTCTGAAGCTATTTTCTTGTGGCATTGTAATTAATTACTATAAACTGGAATAAGCCACAATTAAAGATAAAAAATACGTTATTGACGTTTCAATTTCCACTTCGGAAATCGTTCTCAAAATACAAACAGTAAATTAAACAAATTTTGTTTTTTTGTTACATAGTGAAAAATTCTTCTAATAATATTAATTTTATCTGACTCATTTATATTGACAATTCAGACATACATTATGCATTTTAATAGTAGACGACTTTAAAATGATATTGCCAATATTGTTGAGTTGCGCTCCTGGGACGACTTTACTTATAAGATAGTTCATCGATTACATGAAATCAACTTTAACTTGAGATAACCGTCAAAAAAATCATACATGCTAGATTTTTTTTGACGGATATTCTCAAGTTAAAGTTGATTTCATGTAATCGAATGAACTATCTTATAAGTAAAGTCGTCCCAGGAGCGCAACTCAACAATATTGGCAATAACATTTTAAAGTCGTCTACTTTAAAATGCATAATGAATGTCTGAATTGTCAATAATAAATGAAGTCAGATAAAAATTAAATTATTAGAAGAAATTTTTTCACTATGTAACAAAAAACAAAATTTGTTATTTACAGTTTGTATTTTGAGAACGATTTCCGAAGTGGAAATTGAAACGTCAATAAACGTATTTTTTATCTTTATTGTGGCTTATTCCCAGTTTATTAGTAATGTGTCATATTTGGTTCACATTGGTCTTTTTCTTGTATAAATTCAAGGTACTTTTATTTTATATGACATTATACCAACCTTTGTCACAAGCTGCTTTACAAAAAATGCCAGGATCTTTTTCCCTTATTTCTTCACTCCACTTTATCATGTTGTGCCTATGAATTTCTTTGTATGGTCCATCACTTAACAATTCTTCTAAATCTAAATTGTGATCTCTAGCATAAACTCTTTTAAGAGGTTCTGATATTCGAAGAAGACAACACTTGTCTTCTCCTAGCCTAAAAACAAAATGATCCTTATGTACAGTTGCGGTCACGGAATGTTTACAGGTTCACGTATCTAGGAGCCCATTTTTTAAATTTTTACTTCGTTTAAACGCACCTTTTACGTCAAAGTGACGTTGCCAGTGGTGTACTAGCTAGAATAGGTAGATTAAAATTAAAATATCAAAATATTTTACAAAATGAAAAATATAGAAAACAGTTTTTTTGAATAAAATGGATTATGATCTTAATAACGAAAATAAAGAAGTCTTTTTTTTAATATGCATTTTATTTTAAATCTATTTTATATTAAATAACGATAAACAATGATAAATAATAATTAATATTTGGTGGAAGCCCCATTCTTGTCAATACAATTTTGCAGTCTTCTGTTCATAGATAGCACCAATCCCCTCATGTTATAGTTAACAAGCTCTTCCCATGCCTGCTCAATTGCTTCCCATAATTCAATTCTATTCCGTGGTCTAAGGTTTCTTTCATTTAGTTTCTTTGTTAACTCTGCCCACACATTTTCGACGGGGTTAAAGTCTGCACTACGGGAAGGCCACGGAAGAACATTAACATCAGTTTCTTCTAGCCATTCTCGAACAATTCTACTCGTATGCACCGGGCAATTGTCATGTTGGAAGATAAAGTCGTTGTTGGGGAATCTCTGGATCACCGATGGCAACATTGTGTGCTCAATAATATGTTTGTAATATAATCCTGTTAACTTCTCCTCTACATGATAACAAACGCCCGGGCCTTCGGCACTTATCCATCCCCATACGTTGACAGAGAATCCTCCACTATTTCTTAAATGATGCGTATACTGTTCATCATACCTATGATTTCTCGGCCTATAAACTCTTATTCGACCATTATTATACGACTGAAATACTTTTTCATCGGAAAATACAACCCTAGACCAAAAATTCTCATCGCGGTTTATAAATTCATTACAAAATTCAACTCGTCTCCTCTTGTGATCCTCAGTCAAAAAAGGTTTCCGTGCAGCTACACAATTTAGCAGTCCACTTGCTTTAATTCTTCGACGTGCAGTGCGAATACTGCCTGGAAACGCTGCCTCTTCTCTTGCCTTTTGAGCTGTGCAAAAGGAGATTCTCTCAAATAATCTACTAACATCTCATCCTGTTGATCTGTGGAAATCTTCTGCCCTCCTGAACCGCCCAACCGTGCTATAGAGTGAAAATTATCCCATCTTTGTTTAATCTTCCATATGCACATATGACTCACGTTCAAATCAGCAGCAACTTGCCTTAGTGACCAACCTTCTTCGAGTTTGGCAATTGCTCTTGCTTTTTGCGCATAATTCAAATGTATTCTAACCATTTTGGAAGAGTTTAATATACTTTTATTTTATTGTTGAACACTCGCGAAAGCATTGACGTTTTGAAATTTTTTGACTTTGACATTTATCAAATCCGTACGACACTGCAATTTTACAGTATTACAATATAAAAAGTAAGGTGTAAACTATTCCGTGACCGCAACTGTACATGTTTCCTTAAAAATATTTGGTGATCATCAACATACTTGATTTGTACTTTGTTGTTTCTTGTAGGATTCTTAAACCTAGAACCACAAGATATAATTGGTGGAATGATTTTCACAAAGTCAGGTCACCGGCGATCCAAAAATATTTTACAAAATAAAAGACATTTAAATCTTTTTATTTTTACTTTTTATTTAAAAGACAATTTAAATAAAAAATTTACTAAATGATTCGATTTCTAATCTGAAAATGTATTGTTAGATAACAATAAGCAAAACTAATAAACTTACTTAGTTAGTCAAAATATAAAAGCACTTATATTAGAAGTATAATCTTTGGTGAATTGACACACACACAGAGTATTTGGTCTGCACAGAAAGGCAGTCAGGGTCCTTGTTGGTTTTGGATTTAGGGAGGCCTACCATCAGGCTTATGAAAGATCGGGAATTCTAACTATACCTACATAGTACATTCTAGAAAACCTTTGATTCATGAAGAGGAATATCATCTTTATAGAAGTCACAAAGATCAGCATGGTTATTATACTAGGCACAAACAGAATATGATACCAGCATATTGGCATTTGAAAAGGTGTCTATGATGTTTCTGAAGTCAAATGGTGTTCCTGTTAACCTAATTTGGATGATTATATTGCAGTAATCTTAGTTTCATTTTGAATAATATTTGTTCTTCCTTTCTGTAAGCAATAATGCTTATTAGTGGGTGAATTGATGACTCTATTGAATGTTGTTACTTCATCATTTTAACATTTATTTGTGAATAAATCAATCTTATTATTAAATGATTGGTTATAAGTTGTATAATTGTATATAAAGTTAATACATAATAAGGATGATATATATGAAAAACAGTTTTGAAGGGATAATTGGTAATACCTAGTGCATATTTGCATGGGAGCAGATTTTGTTGCTTGTATCTATCGAGCTAATTACTTCGAGTATTGGGAACAATTCACTTAAATGAACATTGCATAAATGATACCCAATATGTTGTTAAATGCAACAGTTTAATAAATTGCATAAAAATTGTGAAAAATAGCTAATTACAAGTAAAAAATACTCATTAATCATGGTTTCAAAATACAATTGATATTCTGAATAGTATAATTTAAATTGGGCTAGTAAAATGGAATATATCCTAGCAAACACTATTAAGGAATACTAAGAAAGTTTTATTCATGGAGAAAGTTTCTTGACACAACAGTAAAACTTTATCAAAAGATTTAATTTATGCATAAGAATATCAACGACTTAGTTAATACTTACATACATTTAAGTTTCTCACATAAATAATCTTTCCCAGATTTTCTTTTGCCGCTAAACACTAAAATGATTTTCGGGTTTTCCATTTTCAAAGTTTTAATGGTTTTAATTAGTAAAATAAACAATAAACATCACTGATTTATAGACAACACCTATTACATATTGATTAGTTTGGAGTGTATACACAACCGAAAGTATTTATGCGGAAAAATAGCGATGCATCCAATTTTATAGTATTTTTATAAATACATATAGTAATATATTTTATACATCTAAAGTATTAACTACAAATATATATGCATATTAATATACGATCTTCAGGAGTTTGGAACGAAATTGGGTTTCAAAGTTATTAATCATTTTTTTCTTTTCGTGCGTATAACTCTTGGACTATTATACACGATGCCAGCTTAAGCCAAGTTTATATCGTTTAGATGCAGGGTAATTTCTGAACCTAAGTATTATATTCTATCCAATCATATTGAGTTCTCTGTATTAATACTGTTAAATATAGTACTTTGTGAAACTATATTTAGTTGACATTTCTATTATCAGTTCTTGCACTTATGACGTTTGTCAACGGAAAGTTCCCCTTCCTCTCTTCATTCCGCATTCGACTTCGAACTTTTAGCCGGGTATACCAGTTTTTTTATAGACCTTAACTTATTATTAAAACTCGTTCTATTTCAAAACTTAACACGTTGCGTTAACGTCAGTGATTATAATTTCATTCCGATATGGCTCAAAAGTTCAACGAAATTAAGCAGCAATTAGATGTAGCTTTGCGCGATAATTCTAAACCCTGGACCCCTATTCTATCAGCTGCGGAACAAAAAACTGGCCTAGATAGGGTTTATCTAGCTTTAGGTAAGAACTTAATTATTTTTTAATTGAGGAAGATTTTTTATATCAACTTTTTAAGAATTAATTATAATAATCACTGTGTGAATAGGTGACCTTGGTTATCAACTTTTTTTAATATTTTAATTCACCCAGGAGAGTAATTAATTATAAAAAATGTTGACTTTCATAATTTTGTGTTAATCTTAAAATTAACCTCATTATACTAATGGTTAGTACAATTCTTCTCAAAATATTCAAAACCCATGAATTTATTGCTTATCCTAAACTTCACTCCACTTTATTTCTTTGTATAATATGGAGGGCTAGACAAGGGGTATGCCACATTTACATTACATTTAATATAAGTAAATTCCAAAAAAATAATAGCCTAAAACAGTATGTTTAATTGATGATCTTTCAAATAAGAGATTATTTTAATATATTCTGTTGTCTACTGAAAATTTGTCTTATCAGCCAAATTTAAAAAGCAAATTAATTGAGATGTTTTTCACAAATATAACTTCATTCATTAATATTCATTCTATTACAATACATTTAATTCTCCATTATTTATTGATTCCTGCAGTAAAACCTGTAAATTTTAATACTTCATTAAAATTTAAAACTTAAATTTAAAAAGTGTAAATGATAATTTCCAAATATGTATCTTCTATGAGAATAAAATCTACATTGTGTAGTGAGACTGATTAGGAACATATTTCTCCACCATTTGAGTTATAATTGATGTTTTTCAAGACATTATGTTTTTATGGACAATATTATACTCATTTAAAGTTTATTTTTTGACTAGATTTCTACATTGAGGATTTGTGGTATTGTGCTTGATTGATTTCACATGCACCAAGTTTTAACTTTTTTTATAGGCTGGTTGATCTTTCACACTTAGTTTTTGTATTATTCTAATTATTGACTGTATTCACATCACTTCATATTTCGTAAGATGTCCAACACACCTCTGATATGACCAATGAATGTTCAAAGATGTGGCAGCCATAGATCAGTGGCAATCAATCCTCATCAAAACACCAGAAATATTTAATTTCTAATTTAACTGAGCCACCACTGTGCTTTAGAGGACATGTTAAGCTGTAGCTCTCAGCTAAATAACTAGATAATTAACATTAAAACCTAACCCAGAAGGTTATTTGAATGGAAAATGTATAATAAGTGTATTGGCTGCAGAATGACCAGTTATTCCATAGAGAATATTAATTACAGTTAATTTTTCACAAATTTTTCTATACCTATGTTGTTATTTGATCCAAACATATTTTAAATGTTTTGTAGCAATATTAACCATCTTATATCATCAATATTTTTCTTGTCATTGGCTTCAAGAAAGGATTATTTTACTTTTTACTAAAGGTTTTTGCTGATTGCTACATGGAATTTATGGAAAGGATTCTCTATATGTGAACTCAACACTTCTTCTTCTTCTTAGCCTTCTATCGTCCATGTTTGGACATAGGCCCCTCCCAACTCCTTCCATCAGTCTCTATCCTGAGCAACATATTTCCAATTTGTTCCGGCTATTCCTTTGATGTCATCAACCTCATCTGTGGTCTTCCTCTTGGTCATTTACTTTCGTAAGGTCTCCAATGTTGTATTATAGTATTCCAACGTTGGTCTTTTTGTCTAGCAGTGTGGCATGCGAAGCTCTATTTAAGTTTGGCAATTTTTGTTGTTATGTCCTCGACTTTTGTTTTTGATCTTACCCAGTCGTTCCTCCTTTTATTTGACAGTTGTATACCTAACATTGCTCTTTCCATTGTTCTTTCTGTTGTGGAAAGAGCAATGTTAGGTATACAACTGTTAGATAAAAAAAGGAACAACTGGGTAAGATCAAAAACAAAAGTCGAGGACATAACAACAAAAATTGCCAAACTTAAATGGAGCTTCGCGAGGCCACACTGCTAGACAAAAAGACCAACGTTGGAATACTACAATAAAACATTGGAGACCTTACGGAAGTAAAATGACCAAGAGGAAGACCACAGATGAGATGGGTTTGATGACATCAAAAGAATAGTCAGAACAAATTGGAAATATGTTGCTCAGGATAGAGACTGATGGAAGGAGTTGGGAGGGGCCTATGTCCAAACATGGACGATAGAAGCTAAGAAGAAGAAGAAGAAGTGTTGAGTTCACATATAGAGAATAGTTTACATACATTCCATGTAGCAATAAGCACACGTCATATAATTATCTATATGTAAACCAATGAATATCCCACTACAATGCTAACTACTGCAATTTTTGAATTTTGTAATAAGATCAGCTAGCAACATTATGATTATGCAACATCTTTATAAGGTTTTTGATATTAACATTAAATCATTTGAAAACCTGCATGACCTTTTACTTAAACACTAGTATCACCTCAATTTGTAAGAAGACTCAATAATTCAAAAAAAATTAAAAAAAGCATTAGTTGGTTGAATTTCACTGCATGTTTAATTGTGTATATCTACTCTTAAGCTAGCATATTTTGTTTTGTCTATTGCAGTATAAAATTATAATATCTTGATTGCATGTTATAAAATAAATTAAAATGTAATATCATTGTGATATGATATATCAACTACAGGCTAATGTAAGCATATCTGTAAATAAACATTGTCTTTTATCTTTAAATTTTACAATAATTAGTTATACTGATTGGTTACAACCTTTCTCTGACCTTTGACATATTATATTTAGATACAGATGTTCATGTAAAAAGGCTGGTATTTAAACATTTTTCAAAAAATATTCAGTGATAACCATAACTTATTTGAACCTTTTTAATGTTCTGACATGCAACAAGGCTTTGGAGCTTTGGATTTAAAATGTATTTAAAAACTGAGGATTAGGTAATTACTTTTTGTGATGCATTGCACCACAATATTTTTTTAAGTTGATCTATGATTATTTTCAAAAATGAAACATCAGTTACCAGAGAAATTTGTTGGTGAATGAGGTAGTAAATACATAAACTCTGATAGAAGAGTGAGCCTTGTGTGTTAGCTTTTATTTATTTATTTATTAACAGGATAACCTCAATAAAATAAAATACATTAATACATAAATAATAATTACGAAAGTGCAATAGACCTCTCAAGTTGATTCAAACTAGTGCAAAATTTATATGGTGCAAATCTAAATAAGGAACATTAAATCTGATTGTATTCAGAAAGTAAGGGCCAATCAATATGACTATTTATAACTTTAAAAATAAAAGTAGCATCTAAAATATCCTGCCTAATACTAAGTGGTGGTAATCATAGTAGTTGCCTGATATTAGTATAATCATGATCAACAACATTATTATGAGTTCTAAATGTACAGTATCTCAAAAACCTATGTTGCAGCCTCGTTGCAACCTAGTGTGTAAATATGACATTGAAAGTAGGGTGACCAAACTACACAACAATATTCATAGATGGATCATACAAAAAACAACAGCTAATTTAGTTGCATTAATACTTATTAAAATACTTACAATTGCTTGTGACAAACTCATGTAATTTAAAAGCCTTTGTGGATATTTGGTTGATGATAAAGTTGCACCAATCTTGCTCACTTTTCAGGTAAAACTGATATAATAACACTTATTAACATTTAAATGAAGACCATTTCTACTACTCCAATTGTATAAATGATCAAGATCAACTTGTAAAGACAATTGATCTCTAAAATCTTCAACAACCCTTCAGAACTTCCAAGTCATTAGCTAACATTAATACAGACTACTTAAAAAACACAGCTCACAATATCATTAACAAATATATTGAAAAAAATAGGTGGTGTGTGTCCTTCCTGAGGAACACCTGAGGTAACCATTATTGACTGAAATATTACCAACAACCTAAGCTTTGACTAAGATCTGTTGAATTTTTGATCCATTCAACAAAATGACATAAAATCCCACAGAAAGCAATTTTGCAACATGATTAAATGCTTTACTGAAATCAGTTTATATAGCATCCACCTGTTTTTGACCTCGATTTGCTTCATAAGCTGAGACTGATAGCAAACTAAATTAATAGTTGTTGATTTTTTGAACAAACACCGTGCCTATGACTTGTAACGATAATATTTTGCCTACCTCAGGGTAAGATTATGGGGGTAAAGATAGGCAAGCAAATAAATGCTACTTGTGCGAACAGCACTCAGGGGGTTTGTTAGAGAGCTGGGTTAGGATAAGTAAATGGACAAGGGGTCGGAATGGGCAACTACAAGAAAAAGAAAACAAAAGAGGTACTAACATAATCTCTTGTGACAAACAAAATAAAATAACAGGAAACACCTAGAAAGGATATTTCATTGCGACTTTATTACTACATCTCATTTATTTTGGTCTCTGTGTCAGTGTCGCTTTACTTCGGATAATTTCGAGATGTTATTGTTCACTCCAAAAACATTAATTGTTATTTGGTTTCTAATATTAGGCAATAGTTAGGTAGATATACAGATTCAAGATTTCACCTCTGTAAAAATACATTGTTATTGGTTACTGTTTTTTATTAAAAAATTATATTAATTACATTGAACATTTTTAATTTTAGACTTTATAATTTTAGGGTGATTTTTCGTTTGGTGTTACTAAGTATTTTGCAATTTATATTTATTTTAAAAGTAGTTTATTTAGTAGGTAAGGTATATTGAGTGATAATGTTGCCTGTGAACAATATGAACTATTAGTTTTTGAGGATGAGGAGAGGACTAAGTAGTATTAGAAACTTTAACATTAATAGGCGTTTACTTAGGGATGAAAGTATCCTTTCCAATCAACTAACAAGATTTTTCAGTTTAAAGGATTGTATCGTTTAACCAAGATATAGCAAGAGGTATATTAATTGGAATCATGCAAAATATGGTTATCCATAATAATGTTGTGGTAGCTTCAGTTGCAATAAAGATTTTTGGTACCCTCCAATTTCTTGCTACTGGTAGCTACCAAAAAACTATAGGCCAAAATTTTACAGGTTGCAGATGTCTCATAAATAATGTCTAGGGAAATTTTTGAAATAATTGAAGCCCATTATTGAAACATTTGCCAATCAAATCAATTCTTAATTCCATTGGAGTGAAAAATACCAAAAAATAAGATACGATACGGTTATACGATAATACGACACGATGTTTACATATAACAAAACTCTAATTCTAACCTAAATTTTTAAGGTCTTTATCGATTAGTTTCTAATAACAAACTAAAACAACACGTCTGAAGGTGTTGAGTAGAAGCGAGGCCATAGCTACAAATAAGTTGATACAAAACGATATTTGACACCTTGAATGGAAGACAGAGTACGACGTTTGTTTTTTGGCGACTGTTGATATCAACATAACACAGAGTTTACCCACTGGTTTACCTTGCGGTCTCAAGAATTGTACATCGTTCCGAGAGGTCCATAACATTGCCAGGTACATTGATGAAATCATCCAAGATTTTGTTGTGCTTATGCTGGTTTTGGTGGAAAATGACTTTGTTTGATGCATGATAATGCCAAGCTCACAGTGCGAGATCATTCAACAGTTTTTAAATGAAGTAAAACATTCCTGTAATGAATTATCCAGCATTGAGTCCAGCTGCAAACTCAATCGAACATGTTTGGACATGCTTGGACAAAGGATACGAAGTCGTGTTCCTGCCCCTTTAACTTTAAATCAGTTACAAGAAGCCTTTTAGAGGATAAGAATTTATTCCTCAATAGGAACATTTCTCATTTGATTTTAGCATGCCAACGAGAATTCAGCAAAATCGGCATGTGGAGGAAACATTCATTATAAAATCCTTAAAATCAGTTTATCCGGCCATGCTTCAAGTTTTTATAATTGAGCGTCATTTTGTTACAACATTTCTTCTTCTTCTTCTTCTCATGGCGTCGTCTCCTTTCGAAGGTTGTCGATCCAAATGGCAATTGTGGGTTTTGGAAAATGCTGACGCGAAGATTTCTGCGGATGAGCGGTCGAACCATCTTCTTAGATCTTTCAAGCCATGAGTACTGGCATTTTCCTACTGATTCTTTTGCCCCTGTACTTTTCCTTCAGTATATACTTGATGTAATTCATATTTTTCGCCTCTCAACACATGACCCAAGTATTGCATTTTCTGTCTTTGATTATTCTTAGTAATTCTTTTGTTTACACATTCGACGACGAGTACTCAACATTAGTAACTCTTTGTACCCATGGAATTCTCAATTTTTCGTCTGTATTATATACATCTCAAAGGCATGTATTCTTTTTCTATTTCAGAGTCCCATGTCCAACTTACACAGCCATACACTAAGACAGAAAAAACGTAACATCTAATCATTCGGATTCTAAGTCTGATCTTTATGTTTTATGCTCATGAATGTTTTCCTTGCTTGTTCTATTCTTGATAGTATTTCTTTTTTTTTTGATTACACTGACTATGGATATTTGCTCCCAAATATTTTATGGAATTTATTACCTGTTCTATCATTTGTCACTTGGCATACACATGTACGTTTATGGTCTCTTTGAAAATAGTAAAGTTTTCGTTTTGGAAACGTTTAGATGTAAGCCGAACATTTCGCTGTGGTGAACTACCGCATTTATTACATTTTGTAGTCTCTGTGCGTTGCTTGCTATTAAGACAGTTTCATCAGCATATCTGATGTTGTTTATGCTGATTCCGTTAATCTTAACTCCGCCTTGGACCTGATCTAATGCTTCTCTGAATATAGACTCCGAATATAAATTAAACAGAAGGATTTTGTATATCTTCGGATGTGTGTGTGTTCTATTTCAATTGTTGCCGTTTGGTGCCAGTATAGTTCTGAGATAATTCGCAAGTCTTGTTCGACAACTCCAGTTGTTCTCAGAATTATGATCATCTTTTGATGGTTAACACAGTCAAATTACTGAAAACGGTTGTTTCGGTTTGTGCTTATATAATCCGACAACGAGAGCTGGCGGGTGAGCTGCGCCAAAATAGATAAGGAAATTATTCTAAGAGAGATAGGAGAGGTACTTAATCGCGATTATAGGTATATAGTTATAGGTACATAAACGGTTATACAACGATGTGAACTCCTAGCCGAACTGCAATAGAAATGAGCAATCCTTACACTTTTCAATTTGTTCTACACGCAACCCGCCAGCTCTCGCTTGTCGGGTTATACATTATTATAATAATAAAAGTTTAAAGAAAATGAAAATTTTAATTGTTTATTTTAAAAATGCAAGTGCACCGTTTTTTTCGTGTGGTGAGTGTATAACTACGCTTAAATTTAGCAAATGTTTTTAACCACCGAAAATGAAGGAGGTGAATCTAATTGCCCGCGTTCGATTTTGCTTACAAAAATATCATATTTAATTTATTACAAGATGATTATGCAGAATAGTAAAGATTCCTCAGAATTTTCGCCATCTCTATCTAGCCACGTAATTCTCGGATAATCATCTTAATCTCGTAATGATATCGTCATTCACTTTTTTTTAATCACAAACAAATAGTTAATTTAAAAAGATCTTATACTCTTGAATTTTTTGTCTAATACAAGAAAGTGACAGCATAAGCTTTTGAGTAGATAATATAGGACATATATCTGAGTCATTGTCAAATAGATTCAGGATATGGAATATATGGTTTATATTTTAATATCCATTTTTAAAATATATAACGACGCAATAATAAATACCAGCAATTAAAATAGTATTACTGTCTTATCTGTATTTGAAAATAAATATAAGCCATCAGAATTTTTAAGTAAAGATAGGTATTTATGTGTACAACCGCATTTTTCGACCCAGTGGCGCGTTATCGTTTCGCATGTTTAAATTAAGTTTAAAGACTAAGCCGTTATATAATAAAGGTGTACACCATTTCTTTATCACAACCTTGTCTTATCCACCCGCCTTAATTTTAAAAATAGAAATATGTATAACATAAGCGATAACATGTTTCTTTTAGGAGCTGCAGCGTTCTTGGGCATTTGGCTAGTGTTCGGATATTTTGCTCAACTAATCTGCAACTCATTAGGTTTCCTGTATCCGGCCTACGTTTCGATAAAGGCGATCGAATCGAAAGAAAAAGATGATGATACAAAATGGTTGACTTATTGGGTTGTTTTCTCCTTATTTTCCGTCACCGAATACTTTGTAGATATTATTGTCAGGTGGTTCCCTCTATACTGGCTGATAAAGGTAAGTTATAATATAACTAATATTAGTCCATATAACAGAATATATGTGTTGTTTTTACCAGGAGTGCCACTTTACCAAATACTCATAATATAAAATACTATTGTGTCAATCCTGATTGCAGTTCTGGTTTTTAGTGAGGCCAAAACTCTTTCACCGCTGAACCGTCGAATGTTCTGCTCGTCGTTTCTATCGTTCTAGTCGCCGCCGGTGATCTGGAATTTCGTGTTATCGTGTGGTTTCGGCCTCATTCCCTCCGCTGGCTATTTCTAGAACAGATGTTCTTATTATATAAGCCGCTGACTCTTTTGAGTCTGTTAAGTAACAGAAATCTCTGCGTAATGAAATAACTCCGGTTGTGTCAATAGCGACTTTACCATTAACTGCTTAAAAAACACAATTGCACTTTGATCTTGTTGCAAAAACAGTCGATGTTCATTGGAGCGTCCTTATATACTGCCACAAATGTTGATGTTAGGCATGCGTTTAGTTCGTCCTCAGCAGTTAATTGTACAATAATTATTAAATAAAAAACAGCCTGACAATAGAATAATGGCTCCACCAAAAATGTTTTGATTGTCACGAATATTTTCCAAAGTTCTGTCCAGTACTACCTAGATTTGTCTGCTTGTGGTGCACTTGTTGGGCATTTTCAAAATAGCGACCCTCAATGTTCAATTACCACTGTAAATAAAATATTGACTATCCATCATGATATGATAGTCAATTTATTTTTCCAATTGTCATGTCACTCAGAATGTTCCAAGACTTTTGTGGAATTCTGTCTTTTATATTTATTCTATGAAAAAATATAATAAATAACATTTAAAAACATTTTAAAACAGATAATTTTTCAATTAATATAGTTAATTTCCAATAACTTCATCTCTGTTTCAAATAAAAGTCTGATTTCGGCGACCTATATTTAAAATAATCGATACTATGTTGTTCTGATTTCATCCCAAATTTTAACAAGACGTTGTCCCACTTTATCCAAATTATTGGATCAGTTTAGGAGGTTTGTAGGACAAGTTTGTCCTTAACATTCCCAATGGGGTCAAAATTTGTATATATCATTTTATAGTAATGAGTTCAACTTTAGAGTATTTAAAGAAAATTGTTGCAAAAAAGCTTGATGAAAAGGATGATAATATTTAAAGTGTATATTAATCCATTAACGCTCAAATTTTTATTTTTCAAATTTCAAAATTTTATTTATAATGGGTGTTTTTTTCGAGGTATAGAACTTTGAATAGGAATAAAACAAAGATGATTTTTATAAATTAACATGAAATTGACTTTATACGAAAGATAATCTTTTGGCATTATAATTTAAATATGATTTCTGGCATATGACCGCCATGGCTGGCTCTGACGTAGTCTATTCTAGAGGTCAAATTTTCGATAACTTTTTCCAACATTTGTGGCCGTATATCGACAATAACTAGGCGAATGTTATTCTTCAAGTAGTCAATCGTTTCAGGCTTATCGGCGTAGACTAGCGACTTCACATATCTCCACAAAAAATAATCTGTACAAAATAATCTCCACAAAAAATAAGCTGTGTGACATGTAGCGCCTTATTGTTGAAACCACAGCTCCTGCATATCATTCTTGTTCAAATGAGGAATAAAAAGCGGTCACCATTTACTATAACGTTCTGATCAACATTGTTTTTGAAGAAGTGCGGACCAATGATTCCACTAACCTACAAAGCACATCAAACAGTCAGTCCAGACGTGAGTCTAATTATGCTGAAATGCCAAACAAAACTAAACATAAATCACTTGACTGCTGTCAAAATTGCCGCTAGTTAAAATAGTATTGCCAACTTACATTTCTATACCACTAAAAAAACACCCTTTATATAATAATTATCAGTAATCTTGTTCTTAATAAGGAAATATTCATGAAATAAGTTACATATTTGCGTTTTCGAATTACGTCCTGATCTATAAATAGGACACTGGGCGTTAGGGTTATCATAATTTCAAGTATGTCTGAATGAGTTTAAACGAGTTATAAGAATTAAAATTTTTATTTACATCTAATAAAAAAAAGTTTATTTTTTATGATACTGACGTTAGTGGTCTTTTTTTCACGTTTTCTATGAAGTGTCCTTTCCCATCTAATCTTACGTCCATAAAAACTTTTGCTGATGATGTACTCGGTTTTCCTACTATACTTCTTGTACTAAGAGTCAATTTTAGGTAGGGAATTGTTACAGATCGACGAAAATCTAATAGGGTAATATTTGACTTATTAACTCGTTTGTAGAGAAGACATGAATTTACTAATACCATATCAATCAATTGTGTGAATATTGGCCAATACCACTCTTTGAGTCTGATTTTAGTGGTATATTTTCCAACAAACCAGTCGTGTTAATCCACGTTTCTCATGTCATCATCATAAGTGGCTCGACAATCCGTTGTGGATCTTGGCCTGCTCACAAAGAAGTCGCAAATTCTGTCGATTCTTGGCAACTTTCCATCTCCTTCGTTGTCGTCCTCTGCTTCTTATGCCGTCTGGTTTTGAAAATGTTAATCTCTTCGTGTATTCGTGATTTGACATCCTAGCAATGTGTCCAGCCCATCAAAGTCTCTGCACCTTAACGATTTTCACAATATCTGGATCGGTGTATACTTAGTTCAAAGTTGTATCTTCGACGCCATAGCCCATTGTCATTTACGCCCCCAAAAATGTTTCTAAGAATTTTTCTCTCAAAAATACCAAGTAGTCTTTCATTATTTTGAGATAAGGTCTTCGTTTCAGCTCCATATATCAAAACAGGTCCGCTTCAGGTTGTCAGTCCATCTAGTTGGTGGGCGTCATCTGCTCCGTATTGCTTCTTGCCTTGGTGTCACTCTAAAATACGTTTTGTTCAGAATACAAATCCGAATCCAAATTCGAATCCTATTCCAAATCAGATCAAATTAAATCGAATCGAAAGGAATTGAACTGAATTGAAGTAAAAACTACCACTTCGTGCGTAGACGATAAAAAGGTCATACTTCCCTTCCTTGGTCACTCCAGGTGTGCCACATCCCGGTTTTTAATTTAAATTTTAGATGTGATTCGATTAGGTTAGGTTTTATTTTGTTATCAAAAAATTTAAATTCATTATATTTACTTCGCAAAAAAACAAATGTATACGTGGCAACATTGAACATGTGCAGAATATTTTATATTGTGCCCAAACGCGGCTTGACTTCTTTTTTCAAATGAATGAATTTTACAATATTTTATTTGTTGTGTAATTTAACAGGGAAAAAATAATGGGAATTTACAATTGGTTTATGCATTTTATATCACTAAGGATATTTCGTATTTGATAATATTTTCCTCTTCCTAATTTTCGATTTCCTAACTTTTTTTCAATTTTTTTTCAACATTTCTACATCTTTCGTATGTTTCCGGTATAAAAAACACGAAAATTTTGCTTTTTTTTTTCATTTTTCAGGGAAGTCCAAAAAAATTCGCATTTTTAGCAACCCTTACTAATGTAAACAAATATAATATACCAATAAATATTATGATAAAAACTTCTGATACTATCCCGACATGGTGGTCTTACATTTAGTTTACTCCCAATATTAACTTCAAACTCTGCTTTTATGTGTATGTTATTTTAAAATATAAATGATATATCCCAGATATGTTTAAAAGAGGATCATCGTCCCTTAAAGAGGCGAAAGCCTAAACAAGGTAAAAACATGATTTTCTGATATGTTATTGACTTATTAAAATCGTATTTTCTTTCTATTGATTGCTTGTTTTAATATGGGTAATAAATATTAAATTCAAAGTTAAGTTTTAAACTGATAAAATAAGAATATTGGCTTAGAAAGAGGTAAGGAACAATTCGTAACTTCATCAGATTTATTACCAAATATTTACGTACAATTGATTTAAACACGTATCCAATAACATTTTAATTGAAATACGTCAATTTTATTTTCTTCTAAAGATGCTCCGAATAAAACGCCTAGAAAAGTATACTTACTTAATTGACAATATCTTCATAAAAATGGTATAACAAAAGGCTGGGCGTGTGTATAGTAGCATTAATTATAGAAATAGAAACCAACTAAATGACAACAGTCACGGAAGCCGTGTTGCTAAAATTAAGTACAACTTTTTAGAAATATATTATTACGTGTTTACAGGTATCTGTGTTTGGCTCATTTTATAGTCATATATTTACTCATTTTATTTTCACCTGTGGCAGTCCGCAGTCTCCGCTGTTTATAATTGTCAGGCGAATAATAGTCCTAGTCGCTCCAGTATCCACCAACAAGATATACATTTTATCTTGTGACGAGCTAATCGCAGTGTTCTCTGCAATTCATGATCATGAAGACCGTCAATAAATGTTTGAATAACCAACTTTTCCATCATGTCTTCAGGAGCTATTGGATAATCATATCGCACTAACCTAGCAATATCTACTTCATATTCTTGAAGGGCCTCATCTTGCTTTTGTCTTTGATTTTTAAGCTGTCACTGTTATGACTCCAAATGTTCGTGACCATACCGCATGTTTAGTCTCTTATTCGATATCATCTGTCTCCTTTACGGCTATGGTTTAGAGTACATTCAAGGAATCTGATGAAAAGCAATAGCCAGGTTTACAGTCTTTTTTGTTTCGGACCATTCATTCGTTCTTGTATCTGATTCAAACTGTTTTTCTTGACAATTTTCCGTTGAAAGTTGGGACTTTAACATGAACAGAACCTCCACTTCCTTCAGATGTTGGTCGTGGCTTCAACTTACATTTCGTCTCGTTGTCTTTTGTCTCTACTGTAATTGATCGAATTCCTCCGTCTGCTGGCCCTGTTTCCTCGATACTCTTTTCAATCTCTTATCTTTTTTTCAAATGATGATATATCGGCTTCAACTTTGCTTTCCGACGAAGATGTTTTATCATTAAGAGAAGAAATTTCTTAAGTGAGTTTATTTTCTAAAGAAACAATGTCTAGGAAATAGAAAATTTAAATAGT